AGCACTTAGACTGGGCGACAGAGTGAGACCCTGTCTCCAAAAAAATTAAAAAAAAAATTCAAACAGCATATGAGTGTGGACATGACAAATCATTCTCCGAGCCCTCCTGCTCCTGACCCCTAGCCCTTGAACACCCATCGCCAGAGGCAACTACTATTACTAGAAACATTCTAAGGGGCAGACAATTTCAAGGGGCCTCAAGTCCTCAGGGAGAAATTGAACCTTCAAGGGAAGAAGCTGCCAGGAATCAGGAGTGACTGAGCCTTTTCCCCCTATGCGCCGGGAATCAGGAGTGACGGTGCCTTCTCCCTTTGCCCCCTGTGTCACCCTCATGCCCTGCTCTGTGGTGGGAGGCAGGTGGTGGGAGGGCAGGGTCCCCACCCTGCTGAACAGGGCCCAGCCTGCTTGATGGAGGCAGGTGTACCCCTCATCCACCCCGGAAAGGCATGTCCTCTGGGGCAGGAGCGGGGCTAGGGGCGCCTCTACTCAGCAGCTTTTCTCACTCTTCGGGTGGGGCCTGCTGACTCAGCATGAAATGCTTCAGCCCCTGGGAAGATGTGGGAGTGATGGGAGTAAGCAGAGACGATGGGGCTTGGCTGGGCCCCACTGGCCGCTGGGCAGAAACCTGGGATCTCAGGGAGCAGTGTGCAGGGGCCAGGGTCAGAGGGCTCATGGGCAGCAGCTGTTTCTGAGACTTCCCAGTGGCCCCTTGGCCTGGGCAGCTGCAAGGCCTCAGCTGTCAGGCAGGCTCTGGGTGGGGAGGAGCCTAGAGCCCCGGGAAGAGGCGGCGCAGGATGGGGGAATTCAGAGCCGGCAGTGGTCCAGGTGGGTCCGAGGGGAGGCCAGCCCCTAGACCCCTGGGCATTTCCAGGGCTGACCCAAGAAAGCAGCAGTAGGCATGGTCGCTCGGGGACTGGAGACCCAGAAAGACCAAGGGCGGCGACAGAAGGGCCCAAATGCCTGAATGCAGCTGGGAGTCTCGCCATGAACAACCATGGGTGTCTTCCGGTGGTCTCTCTAGCCAGAAATCCCAGCACCTCTCTGCTGCCACCCCTCCTCTCCCCTGCCCCCAGGCCAGTCCCACCCTTTGCCTTGTTGATCGGTGATGCTAAGTGCAAGTGCTGGCCAAAGTTCTCTCCATGGCACGATCTTGCCCATCCCTCTCTTGGCCACCCTCCCAGCGCCTCCAGTTCCGTGGCTTTTGACTGCTGTGACTCCCACATCTACCCCTCCAATGCCCAGGTCTCACTGGAGTGCTGTTTCCAGTATTCCAATGGCCCACTTGGTGCCCCTCTTCCTCCCAACCTGCCCCAACAGATCTAGGCCCCTCCCCTGAGCCCTTCTCTGCTCAAACCACCCCTTTGCTACATGCTCCTAGATACTGGGGCTGCACCTGGGACTCCTCTTAAGTTGGTCCTTGTTGGGTGGTCAGGGTGAGGCACAGGGGGTGGGAGGCAAACCCTTCCAAGATTCTCTGGGGCAGAAAGAATCAGGTCCAAACGCCTTAGCAAGACCATGGTCTGGCTCTGAAGTACCATTCCAGGTCCATCACTGCCTCCCTTCCCTCTTTCCCTCTGTCCTTCCCTCTTTTCTTTTACCCGTCTCTCGCCCTCTGTCCCTCCTCCCTCCCTCTCTTTGCCTTGTCTTCCTTCATAAATCTAAAGCCCCTCCCCATTCCTAGGAACATACCCAATATAACTGAAAACAGGTGTTCACACAAAGCTTGTACCCAAGCCTCCACTATTCATAATAGTCAACAAGTGGGAAAACCCGACAGTGGATGCACTGATCAACAAAATACCAATACCGTACAGCCACACAGCGGGGTCTCGGCCACAGGAGACAACGGCGGACTGACAGCCACACGGCGGGGTCTCGGCCACAGGAGACAACGGCGGACTGACAGCCACAGGGCGGGTCTCGTCACGGGAGACAACGGCGGACTGACAGCCACACGGCGGGGTCTCGGCCACAGGAGACAACGGCGGACTGACAGCCACACGGCGGGGTCTCGGCCACAGAAAACAATGGCGGACTGATACGTGCTGCTGCAGGGACGAACCTTGAAAACATCATGCTAAGTGAAACAAACCTGACAGGCTGGGCGCGGTGGCTCATGCCTGCAATCCCAACACTCTGGGAAGCCAAGGTGGGTGGATCACTTGAGGTCAGCGGTTCGAGACCAGCCTGGGCAACATGGTGAAACCCTCTCTATGAAAAATACAAAAATCAGTTGGCATGGTGGTGGGCGCCTGTAGTCCTAGCCACACGGGAGGCTGAGGCAGGAGAACCGTTTGAACCCGGGAGGTGGAGGTTGCAGTGAGCAGAGATCATGCCACTGCACTCCAGCCTGAGTGACAGAGCGAGACTGTCTCAAAAACAAACAAAACCTGACAGAAAAGGGCATGGGCCAGGCACAGTGTCTCTTGCCTGTAATCCCAACACTTTGGGAGGCTGAGGCAGGTGGCTCATCTGAGGTCAGGAGCTCGAGACACACCTGTAATCTCAGCTACTCAGGAGGCTGAACCCTGAGGTCAGGAGTTTGAGACCAGTCTGACCAATATGGCAAAACCCTGTCTCTACTAAAAATATAAAAATCAGCCAGGTGTGGTGGCAGGCACCTGCAATCCCAGCTACTCAGGAGGCTGAGGCAGGATAATCGATTGAACCCGGGAGGCGGAGGTTGCAGTGAGCCGAGATTGCGCTACTGCACTCCAGCCTGGGTGACAAAAGCGGAACTCCGACTCAAAAACAAAAAGAGGATGTATTGTATGATTCTATTTATACAAAATGCCCCAAATAGGCAAACCTACAGCAAAGAAATTAGATTAACGATTGCCAGGGGATGGAATTTGACTGCTAATGGGTGCAGGGTTTCCTTTGGGGTGATGAAAATACTCTGGAATTAGATAGTGGCGAGGTCTGCACAACACCGTGAACATACTAAAAACCACTGAATCATACACTTTAAAATGATGATGTTTATGGCTGGGCACAGTAGCTCATGCCTGCAATCCCAGCACTCTAGGATGGTGAGGCGGGTGGATCACTTGAGGTCAGGAGTTTGAGACCAGACTGGCAAACATGGCGAAACCCCATCTCTACTGAAAATACAAAAATTAGCTGGGCATGGTGGCAGGCGCCTGTAATCTCAGCTACTTGGGAGGTAGAGGCAGGAGAATAGCTTGAACCCGGGAGGCGGAGGTTGCAGTGAGCCAAGGTCACGCCACTGCACTCCAGCCAGCTCCGTCGGGTGGGGTGGGTGGAGTCAGAAGTCAGCCCAGATGGCTACTCCCAGCAGTAGGGAAGCTGCAGGGCCAGGTTGAGCTGGGCCGGGTGCCCTGAGGTCAAAGGAAAGGAAACCCCAAGCTCCAGTGGCTGCTGAAGGTACAGCTGGATGGAAGATCTGCGCCATGGCCCTGCCGGCCCCCACCCTTGGGTGCCCCTCGAGGTCCTAATTCCCTCGCTTCATTCTTGGCACCCACTTAGGTTCCCAGGCACAGCAACTAGGAGTGGCTTCTGTTCCCTTGGCAGCTCTCCCTCTCAGAGACTGGAACCCTAAAGGGAAGCCACCAGGTGGGCAAGGGAGGGTGGCTCCTTCTGCCAGGGCAGAGGCAGGGCAAGGTGGGGGCATGGGCATGGGAGGCAAATCCTGGTAAGAGCTCAGGACTGTTTCTTCAAGGCCATCTAGTTGGTGTCTCAAGGGCAGGGACCATGACCAGATCAGGGGGAGGCCACCAAAGGCGGCTGTAAGGCAGATGGGCCTGACCTCCTGGGCACTCTCCACCCTCCATCACTGACACGCCCCCAGAGCCTGCTTGAGATCGTCTGGGACAACAGATGCCTGGGGAAACTGGTGACACAGCTGAAGTGGGGTCCAGGGACGGTCAGCCAGCAGTCACTTGGCACCTTCCTGATAAGAGCAAAAAGGAACTGTCTGGTGGCAGAGGCACGCCTGCCAGACCTGTCTGCTCTGGGGTTCGCATCCTGCTTTCTTTTTGTCTGACTCTTAAACGCCTGCTCCGGCCCTCCCAGCCCTCCCAGATCATTTCCAACAGTCACACTACTGGTATCCAGGCAACCGTTGCCTGGGCTCCCAAAATTCCACATCCAGAGGCTGACAAGTCATGGTGCCCCCATGGAATATGGCTGGCTGCTTCGCGTGTGGAGGAGCTGGGGGAGGAGGGAAAAATCCGCTCCCCACGCCGGGATGAGTTTCTAATTCTTGGCCTCAGAGGAGGCGCCTATAAACCAATGAAATAAAACAGCTGCTCCTTGTGTTTAAAGGGAGACCTTTTACCGTACGCTGGTCAGATCTGAAGCTCAACTCCATTTCACTGTCAGAAAGGTGAGAGGCAAAAGCTGGCCACTGTCAGGTCACCTATTTATCTCTGAGTCAAGGCACAGACACCAGCAGCTCGCTGCCCCCTTGCCCACTTCCTTGCCCTGACAGCTGGGGTTTGCTGGTCTTGGCTCTGGCATGTGAGGCAGGACAGCCTGCCAGCTTAGGGCAGGAAGCCACTCCACGTCTGGCCAGTGACAGCTTTTCCCCAGATGCCAGGACACAGGGGCATGGGACGTGCTGTGAACCTTGGAAGGCCTGACCCTGTCTGAGTGTTCTGGGCTGCAGGCAAGCCCTGGCCACTGCGTGACTTGGCAAAGCAGCTGCCACCAGGACTCCAGCTTTGGAAGAGCCCGGCGCGGCCACCCCCTCCAGATGGAGAGGTCAGGCTGGGACCACAGCATGCATGTGAGGAACCGCGCAGGGAGGCCCAGGCATGTGGCCAGCTGCTTGCTCTGCAGCCCAGCTCTAGGGCCCGCCCAGTGCACCTCTGCAGCATAGAGGTCGCTGGGGCCTTTGGGGGATGAGGGGTGGGGCTGAGAGTTACCCACTGGACAAGACTAGGGCTGGACAGAAACCCAGTGTGACCGACACTCTGCCTTCTCTGGTCATAGGTCAAATAGGCAACATTCTCTGTCTACTACCAGGATAAAGAAAATAGAAGAAAGGTCAAACTCAGAAGTCACACTCAGAATTTAATTTCTCCAAAAGTTGTTTCTGCGTTTGATTCATGCAGAAAATCACAAAGCCTTCCCGCCTTTTCTGAGTGGGCGGGATCCACAGCTGGCTTACTTCTGTACCTGGAGCATGGACTGAGAGGCAACAGCCTCCTTCCAGGAGAGGCTCCACTCACAGGCAGGCCTGGCTGCACAAGCCCTCCCTGCTGGGCCTGGTCCCTGCAGCTGCCCCTCCCTGGCTGGCTCCTCTCTCCTTTCCTACCCAACTGTTCACCTTGTCACAGGGCTACGTCTTGGCTCTTGGCTAAGACTTTAAGGGCCCACACAGCAGAGGACAGAAGCCTCAGATCCTGACGACCTGCGCGGCAACGCACGGACTCTGCCTCTCCACTCCGTCCACTGCTGGCCTCCTGAGGTAGAGTCGGGCGAAGGTGCCTCCCACCTGCCCTTTGGTAAGGCGCCCGGGGTTCACACAGACACAGCCGAGGACATCCTGGGGAGGAGAGAAGGGGAGACAGGTTTGGAGGCCTTAACTAACTGGGAACCAATGTGAAAAAGTGACATCAGATGGCTGGAACCCAAAGAGGGTTTTATAAAATGGAAATGAAGGCAGACAAACAACCAGACACATTTTCAGTCTTTTTTTTTTTTTTTTTTGAGACAGAGTCTCGCTCTGTTGCCCAGGCTGGAGTGCAGTGGCAAGATCTCAGCTCACTGCAGCCTCCACCTCCTGGGTTCCAGCGATTCTCCTGCCTCAGCCTCCCAGGTAGCTGGGACTACAGGCGCACACCACCATGCCTGGCTAATTTTTGTATTTGTAGTAGAGATGGGGTTTTACCATGTTGGCCAGGCTGGTCTCAGACTCCTGACCTCAGGTGATCCATCCACTTTGGCCTCCCAAAGTGCTGGGATTACAATTGTCAACCACTGCACCCAGCCTCCGTCACATATGTTAACTTGTTACTAGAAAGCTTTGAATTCCTTTTAAGTATTTCAAACAAGAATAAGGTGACTTGGCAGAATGATAATCAGCCCCCAAACTTGGAGACAAACCTGATCTAGCTGTTTACTGCTTTCCCATGTGAAAAACTTTTTCTTTCCTTTTTTAACCCCTTGAGGTTGAACTAGCTCTTGTTTGGCAAGAGTGGGACTGGTCTGGGCAGATTCCCTGTAAGGGACCTAACTCCAAGGCAGGCAGGGTGAAGGGTGGCAGAGATCAGAATGTAGCTTCTTCAAGGTATTCCCAGCTGAGCCCACTTGGAGGTCGTATCAGAATTTGGGAGGCCCAGGACAGGCAAGTGTACCCTGAAATCTTCCCCAGGTCACCTTGATGTGGCCTGGTAAAAGCCCTCAGTTGAGGGCCTTCCTAGTCACCTGGGATCCTGTTCTCTTGGGGAGGGAAGAGGGGACACTGTTTACTCAAGCATTTTACTGACAGAGTTGTTTGTTTTCTGGTCCCACCACCTCCCCACAGAAACAAGGCCACAGGGCAGGGTGCTAGAGGCCCCATCCCCCTCAGCAGACCCACGAGGGGTGAGTGCCAGGTGGTCCAGAAGGGAAAGTCAAAGACTGGGTTCTGGTGTTTCTGGGAAAAAGCAGAGTTCAAACCTACCTTCACGAAGTACCTTAGCTCTGATGGGATGATAAGGACATCTGGGGTGACAGGCAGCTGTGCATAGACATAGAACGTCTCATAGTCAATGGCCATGTCTTCTTGGGGTGGGTAGAGCGGGTAGTAGCTACAGAGACAGAGAGAAATGGTCAGCAGTAGCAGACTGGGGGGCCCCCTTCTCAGACAGAGTCCCCCTAGGTACTGGCTTCCGTGCTGCTGGCGTCCGCAGACCGACTTTTTCTCTGTGTGTGGGGGCAGAATGCAGGCTTGTCATCACAGGGTAAAGTTCCCTGCTGGTAGCCTGGTGAAGGCTCTTATAGTCATGCTTGTCATAGCTTCATGACCCCAAGGCACTCTCTCCACAGTCAGGGGTCCCAGCGGCAAGCTCACCTTCTCTGGGTCAGGATGTGCTTGAGTATTCGGCTGAATCTGTCTGAAGTTCCAGAAGAACTGGGAAAGAAAAGAAAGCACGAACACAGAACCCTGTTTTTCAGCCCATTTCTCTTCAGGGAGGACTGGAGAATTTAATAAACCAGAGAGAAGCTAAATGGCCAAGGCCCAGTGACAAGAGGAGGATGCATCTGGGGAAGTTTAAAGACCCACCCACAAGGAGCTTGGTCTGTCCCCACATGAGGAGGGACATAGGACACCGGGTTGAGAAGGGAAAGCACAGGAATCCCTCGTAATCAAGATCAAGGAGGGCCATTAGCCAGCACCGTGCTGTGCAAGAGGATGCAAAGTTGGCACCATTGTGAGGTGGGCGTGTAGCCAGGCTGACTCGATCTCAAACCTCAGCCAAGGAGCCACACCCGTCTTGCTTCACACGAGAGTCGCTTCACACGCCCCTTCCCATCAAGGATGACGGCAGAACGGAGCTGCCCAACATCAACTCAACAAATTTGGCAGGGCCTGATTATCTGCAGAGCTGGATGTTGTACTAGTAATGAAGAAAGCCCTTCAGAGAAAATTCCCAGTTTATCCTCCACAAACAGGATGTCCACATTTGTTTTCAGGTCACAAATTTGGGAAATGAAAAAAACAGGAGCAGAAAAGAAAATGTAGATGAATTTCGATGCCTTTAAGTGCAAAGACAGAATGGACGTGGTTCTTTGGGGTCTCAAATGCAGTTTAGAGAGGTGGTAACAGAAACTAATGCATCCAACCAACCCCTCCCCTTGGGTACAGAGAAACTCAGATGGCCACAGGGTCGGGCACAGCTTGCTGCTTTCAGGACTCTCTGGTCAAGACTGTCAAGCAGCCCCTTGATTTTCTTGGCTGCAGAAAGGGCTGGGACCAGAAAGCCAGTCATCTTGCTTGGGGCCTGGAACATACTTCTTACCTACTGATCTCCTCGGCCCCCAGGTGGAACAGCAGATCCGTAGACGTCAGGCCAAAGATCACTCCATTTATGGACAGGCTGCAGGGCTCGGACACAAACTGTACTTGCTAAAATGAGAACAGATTGGAACAAATATTTGTACGCCAAAGCTAGAAACATCTTCCCATGAAAGTGGGGGTTGTCTGAGGGCTGGGGAGACCACGGAAAAGGGGACCAAACCAACATACATCAAACTTATAGACACATTTGCTTGTTTAAAAAAAAAAAAAAAAGAGTTTAAGATTCAGGCTGTACGCATGCTCTAAAGAGGCCTGTCCACCCTCCCCTTCAGGGCCAGGGTCAGAGCCAGTGGCGGAGGCATGCTGGATTCTGGCTGCCTGCTGGTCAAGGAGTGGGTACTGCTACCTTTTTGTCCTCTCGAGACAGATCGGAGTAGCTGAAAGGTGGCTGGGGGTACACAGGCTCATGGTGCACATCTCTCAACGATGGGACAAACACAAGGTGGGAGCCGGAGCTAGTATGGCAAAAGAACAAACAGAAGGGGGAGAAAAGTGAGTGCGGTTGAGTTAGAACAGCTGCGCAACAGGCAGGATGCCTCAGGGCTGGAGGCAGAGCCCGCTTCCAGGCAGGCAGCTCAGAATTGCACTCTGTTATGAACAGAGACGCTGTTTCCCATGGGACACTGGGAGTGAAGGACAATTTGTTCTACTTCACACCCATCCATCTGGACAGGCTCCGATTGCCTGGGACACTTTCTTGTTGCTCTGTGTGGCTTTCTCCCAAGAGGATGGAGACTATTGTTTGGCAGAAAAAGGGGCAAAGAAATGGAGATCTAGAAAATCTAGAAAGATAAGGATGCGAATAAAAAATCACAGCCTCAGAGCCAGGGTTTAAACCACAGCTTGGACTCATTACACCTTCTAAGCAAGGGTAGCTTGCAGGCATTAAACAGTGTCCCTGCCACACCTTGGCAGAGTGCACGGAACTGGGGCATCTTTCCTAGGGAGAAGGCAGTATACCAAAAAGACCCTGAGACTGCCGTTTTTTTGTTTTCTTTTTGAGACAGAGCCTCACTCTGTCACCCAGGCCAGACTGCAGTGGCATGATGTGGGCTCACTGCAACCTACATTTCCTGGGTTCAAGTGATACCTGTATCTCAGCCTCCCGAGTAGCTGGAACTACAGGTGCACACCACCACACCCAGCTAATTTTGTATTTTTAGTAGAGACAGGGTTGGCCAAGCTGGTCTCGAACTCCTGGCCTCAAGTGATCCACCCACCTTGGCCTCCCAAAGCATTGGGATTACACGCGTCAGCCACCACGCCTGGCCTGCCTTCGTATTTAGAAGATCCAGCTGAAACCCTCTGACTGACTGAACACTGGGCCATAATTACTGGACAATCAAGACACAGACATTTCCAGCGGGAGGCGGAAAAGCCCAAGCGGCCTCTCCCTGAGCCATCGCATCCCTCCCCTCTCACACATGGAAGTAATGCCCTGAGTTTCTATTTCTCAGCAGGCTATCTTGCAAAAATGAAAGAAATATTTAACAGCAACAGTAAAAGCACAGATGACAGCAGATGTTTCCTTTGATGGAGCAGGAGAATCTCTAGGGTTACAACATGCAAGTGAAGAAGAAAGTTGTAACTCTGGGGGCCAACTATTTATTTTTCCCAGCCATACAAAAGAGAAAGAAAGTCCCGTTTCCTTGGTTCCCTTTGCTGACCTTGGCAGAGGGGCCATTTATAAATCAAATAGGCATAAAGTGTTACTTTGCGGGCATGTTTAAAATCCACCAATAGCTCTCACTTCCATCTCCGTCTCCTGCTTAAAATGTGTGGACTTCTCAGGCATACGAACACTTTGACATGTGATAAAGGTGCTGGTGACAGCCGTCACCCTTATCACTGTGGTGTCCTCTCAGAGTGCAAACTGAGATTTCTACAACAGAAAATCTGAATCCTGAGACCAAAGGTGTTTACATATTCATTATTGTCCCTTTGACACTGAAAAGCTCACTAGGATGATCCAGTCCACCATTTGGGTGCCAGGGTCTGGTAAACAAGCCACAGGGTAACTTGAATGGGACAATCTGTGCTCCACATCTCAAGGGCTTGACATCTGTGATGAACACAATGAACTGAGGTGCAGCTGGCTGCCTCTCAAGACGGAAAAAACTGCCCTGTTTCAGCAGGCTTTGGAAGAGCAATAGTTAAGGAAGAAATAGCCTTCCTCGCTCATGGTTAGAAACGGCTATAGAAGGAGGGATCAGAAAAAAATCCCAACTATGCTCAGCATTGCACAACCTCATACGTCACAGGGGAGGGGTCCTCCAGCTGCTCCCGCAAACAGGATGAGAACGCGGGCTCTGCTTGCTTCCTCTGAGGTGCTTTCTCACTGGCTCTTTTTTTTCTTTTCTTTTTTTTTTTTTTTTTTTTGAGATGGAGTCTTGCTCTGTCACCCAGGCTGAGTGGCAGTGAGTGCAATCTCGGCTCACTGGCACGAACC